TATTTTGTATTAAAGTTTTTACGCCTCTTATAAAGTTCATGACAAACTTCTTTATACCATGTGCGGTTAATTTGAATACAGTTATCTAGATCCTCTAATGGAAGTTTTGAGACGATTTCAGCAATAGTATCTGGAAGTGTAAGTGGGTTATATGTATGCATGTTGTGTATCCTCAAACGTGTGAATTTTATTAATAAGGACTTTTTATTTAATTGTTATAGCGGAGCTAGTGTCTCTGACACATATTTATTATCGATCATAAAAAATAGATATACATTACAATAAGTAGAATGATTTAGTGTGATATTTATTCTTCCGGAATTTCACAATCCCCATATAAATATGTCGTTACATTATCTTGAGCTATCCACAATTTTGTGTCTAGTGGGTTAACACTTCTCTTCGTTTGCGTTATCCTATACATTCGATGTCTGTAACTTCGGAGGAATTGAGCGGTTCGTGGTTGATCCTCTTTTCCTTCTAAAACACAGTCCTCGAATATTTTATGTGAAAGCTCTTTCTTGATGAGAGACTTTTTAAGACCTTTAGCCTTGATCATATTTTTTCGTGAATTCTCACACACAACACTATAGCATTTTGCACGAACTCCTGCATAGCCGATAGCTCTATCTCCTCCATTTTCATCCTTCCACTTACCTATAACTTTAGTATTTTTTAATACGCGCTTACCTTCTTCATTAATTATCCATTGATCTTCTGGAAGATTCTTTACTACCCAATGGTCTTCAGGGTAATCGCTAAAATCGAATAAATCACAATCATCGATCATGTCTTGATATATATTTTCCGTCTCAATTTCTATAATTAACGAATCAGTATCGGTATATAAAAGTTTCACCCGATCTCCATATTTCTTTTTAAGATATCCGTACCAGAAATCATACATATAATATTTAGAAAGATCGAGAATACATGCTCCTACATATTCAGGTTTATTTAACTTTACATTAGTCTGTCTTCGATGTACAGCTACTAGATTAGCTCCGTAGAATATTTTACGACTAACAAATGCAGGATCTGAAATTAGTCTGCGTAATCGTCGCTCTTCTCCTACCTGTCGTACTAAATCAATATTTACTCGTTTTCTTACATCTTCCATAGTTTTCCCGAATACAGAGTTATTCATTAACTTCCAGAAATCTTTTTCGAATGCATTTTTTGCTTTTGCTCGTCGCTGGGTATTCATTGCTATATAGGGTTCCATCCAAGGAGATTGTTCGAAACCTAAAACTCTGTATACTTTTTCTAGAACATATCCCTCTCTTATACACTGCTGTAGATTTCTATAATGAATAACGTAATGGTCTTTATCATGTAGAGTTAGTATAAGTTTTTCTGTATCGGGATGTTGTTTTCCTATCCATTCTTTTTGCTTTGATCCATACCAATCATATGGTACCTTCTTTCGTTCTGGACACATTGGATAATCACGAAATTTAGGATGTAATTCTTTAGGAATCGATAACTTTACCTCTAAGCAACATCCTCGATTCGAATTTTCTTTTAATGATAAAATTTTCTGCACTAATGGAGAACTAGCATCGAGAGGTTTTGTTGATAGCCATTTAAATCCTCCGGTTGGTAAATATTGACTCATTGCCCAACCATATAGATTATTGGCGTCTAAGTAGAGCAACCATTTTTTTGCTTTTTTTCCGTCATACCCTTCTAATTCTGGAATATTAGCCCTAGCTATACGTCGTCTAGCCAAAGACATTCCACCTCTTTTCATGGCTGTAAAGAAATCGTGCATATCCCCTTGATGCTCATTAAATAATTCTAGCTTAACTTTAGTTACTTTCATACATGCGTCCCATGCTAGACCTGGTGCGGTTAAATAATTTGCTGGGTCGAGCTTGAATGCTGAATATGAGGCTTTACGGAATGCCTCGAATGCGTCTGCTAAAATCAATACATCAGTTTTAAGATAGATATCGTGATAATCTCCAAAAGTCTTGCATTCTGTTTCTTGCCAAACTGTTTGTGCGAAATCATAATCCTTTTGTGATATTGTATAAACTTTTTCATGCTCACATTCTTTGTCTTCTTCACATTCATTACAATTACCTGGTTTTTTTTATGCTTACATTTCTGACATTTATGTTTGCATTTCCCTATCTTCTCTCCATGCTCACATTTTTCTATTCTACAGTTATGATCACAGTAATTAAACCCATCTAAATTACTATTAAAATCTTTACGTGGTGGGAGCTGTGTCTCATTAAATTTTGTTTTATTATTTAACCATTGATATGGAAAAATTCCTTTACGCGTAAGCAATGATAACAAATTAGGTGAGATGAATTTTGACATAATAGGAAAACATTTTGCTAGTTGTTCCGGTGTTTTAGTTTGACCTTTCTTTTCATCACGTAAATTTTCTGCCATTTTGGTTAAGCCTGGTAATGAAAATTTTAAACTATCAATGAATTGAAGCTGGCCAACTGAAAAGGTAATGTATTGCTCAGAATTATTTGCTATAGGGACTATTTTTTTATCCGTCACTTTTGCTATTTCTTGCATTAGATGATGAAAATCATAACCACTTCCATTACAAATTAATACCGGAATTTTTATTGTTTCTGGATCGATTCGTAATTTCAGATTGCATTCATTATGTGATGCTCCTCGAAATTTTCCTGTGATATGGTCATGATCTAGTACCCTATTTTTTCCTTCATCTGGCAATTGAGTTTTACAATACATACATATCTTACAAGATTTATGCTTTTCTTTTTGCTCATCATCTAACTTACCTTGAATCATTGGCTTTTTTCCGTGACATTTCCTATGTGAAGCACCCAAGTATTTTTTAGTTTCAGGATCGAATACACGAATTTTATTATATCCAGCTTCATGTAATTTACCTTCACAGTTCCAACACTTATTTGCCATTTGATATTTCCGCCATAATTCAGGCGTCATTTTTTCACATGGAATTGGAATACGAAGCTTATCTAAAATAACATCTAGATCTTCTTGAAGGTTTTCTATTAAATCTTTTATTATATTTTCCGATTCTCGATTAATTACTGGCTTTTGTGTTGTCCCATCTGAACAATGAATAGTATATCCATATGAAACTGCTTTTTGTTCCGCTATTTTTATAGTATTTCCTTCATTGTCTTTTTTCTCCTCTTCGATTTCTTCTGCTTCTAAATCCATACTAATTAAATAAGGTTTTATTAGCATGTTTTTGATATACTTTGGTTTTACATAATTCTTACCATCTTCAGGAAGGATTAATCGTTGTGGTGCTTTACTTGGTCCTGGACATGTTGGGATATGCTTTTCTAATAAATCTAGTCGACTATAAGGAAATCGTAAGCATTTTCGGCAAAAGTATTTCTTTCCATTATGGTTATTCCATTTATGCATTAATCGTGTAAAGTCAGTTATAAATACATAATGCGTTTTTAATCCCTCTGGTATATCATTTGTATTTTTTCGATCATTTAAATTCTCTTCACCTTCTGTTAAATATAATAAATCTATCATATGTTCGACTTGATAATTTCTTTCAGAGATATGTAATGGGTCTATATCTACTTTTATTTTTCCGAACACTTCTTTATACACTGGCCTAAATATATTTATAGCATAGTTTGGGTTATTTTCCTCGAATTTATCAACATCATGTAGTGTTGCTGGAAAATTTATACCTTCAAAATTGGCTATATTTGCATTTCGTCTAAGTCTTCGAATTTCATTAAGATGTGGTGGCTTTCTATTAGCTTTTATGGCTTCCTCTCTTGTGTGATATGCACTTATACACCATTTAAAACACTCATTATCCTCTCTATTTTGCGGATTAATTAAACCGAGCTGTGGCTTATCTAAATCTTCTGGTAAAGGTAACCAACTACTACCTCGTAATGGTCTGAATGCGCTTATTTCAAGAAATACTTCTTCTGCTCGAACAAATCTCCATCCTGATTCTTGTAATGCTTCATCTTCGATCTGATCTATAACTTCGTTATATCCTTTCTCTATAGTTGCGTTAATTCGATCTTCTCTAATAATTTCTATAGTTTCATGCTTGAATGGAAAAGTTTTGTATATAGGTTCTGGCGTTTCCGGTTTAATTTTCTTCATATATGCATATAACACGATTCTTACCTTTAATCCTCCCTTTAATGATAATTCTCTTTTGTAAACATCTGCGATTTTTTCTTCGACTGATTCAAAGAAGGCTAAAGGCTCACTTTCAGCGTGATATTCTCTTGGAACAAATGCATAATAATCACATACCTCGCCTTCATTTAATGTTCCGGCTTCTGACTTTCTATTAATATATGGGTCTTTGATTTTTTCGAAATGAATATCTGGTTCTTCTTCAGCGGTATCATATTCTGAATCATTTGGTTCGCTATCTTTTTCCGGTTTTGATAATCGTTTTATTAATTCATCTATCGTTAAATCAGTTAAAAGGTCGACTGCCGGCGCATTTTCTTCTCTCGGCTGGGCTGGCTGGTGCGTCGGTGGGTTTTCGTCAAATGATATGAGATCGCCTTCGGGGGCTGGAGTTGGGTTTTCTACTGGGACTTGGTTTTGTATCAGAATCTGACTTTCAGTAGGATTTTGATTGGCTGGAGTTTGAGGAAGATTCTTAGGTCGGCAAGGATTTTTTCGATTTAAATGTTGTTGATATTTCTGATAAGTGGAAAGATTTAGACCACATCTATCACAAGTAGTATTTTTAACCATCGTGTATAAAAAGTATTATATATTACTTTATAAAAATCTTTTCTTTAATTAATTATTTATCCTAATCAAATATGATCGGTGAATATACCTGCCAATATATACATAATTCTGGTAAAATTTGTAATACTTTATGTACACGCCCTGAGGGGTGCCGTCTCCACTATAAGGCAAAAAAACGTGTACTTTGTACTGATTGCGGAAAACCAACTGCTTCTGCTTGTGGACGATGTAAAATTCATAAAAGAGGATATTATGTTGCATCCTATTATCAAAGACTTCGTGAAAAAGCTTTAGAGCGGGACTTATGCCAGAACGGAGTTCATTCTTCCAGAATAGGCATAGAAAAATATACATCAGAAACGTGATTAAGCCCTAGAGCGGAGCTCATAATTTTTGGTTAAATTGGTGTACTTAGACGAAGTCCATTTCTTTGAATAAAAATTTTGCTACGTATTATCTTTTTTCTATTTGTATGCTAATTAAACAGATAACTATGCTCTGCTACACATCCGGCAGAAAACGATTTAGTAAACAAATAAGATAGCAAATATTTTGGTTAAATTGGTGTACCTAAAAAGCTATCGATTGTGTACCTATAATTTTTTATATAAGTATTATTAAAAATAAGTAAATGATAACTAAATAGATAACTATGCTCCGCTACGCTACGCAACCGGAGTCGCCATGCTCCTCCGGAACAGAAAACGTTTTAGTATCAAATAAGGAAACTATGCTCCGCTACGCTTCGCAGACTGTTTCACATTCACCTAAAGGTTCATGTTCACAGTGATAGAAAGCTAATTGCGAACTAAACAGATAACTAATGCTCCGCTACGCTTCGCATCCGGAGTCGCTATGCTCCTCCAAGACAGAAAACGATTTAGTATTCAAATAAGATAGCGATTTTTTGGTTAATTTGGTGTGTTTTTGGTTAAAAAAAAAACGATTTATACATACCTTTATAAAAGTTATCGAGAATAAGATAAAAAGCTTAAAATCTAAGAAAATAGACTAGATTAACCAAAATACCCCGAATCTGTACCTAAAAATCTCACTATTCTATTACTTGTAGGATTAGGGCAGGCCATTATCCAATTAACATTAGCGTCTAGCTGAGTCATGTTGCGCAAGGATTTCGTTTTTTTCATCATCAACTTGACGTAAGAGAAAAGAGAAAATTGTAAGTAACTCGTTGAACAACGTAAATGAAGGAGATCAACTAGAGTATAGTATAGAGTGGGATTTTTCTTCACATAAGGCCGGCCACCGCTTTTTGATGATGACTCGCCATTACTGGCTTCCAACAGACTCTCTCTGCTGCAGTCGCCTTTTTGTGCTTAATAAACCCCCATCATAAATTCTGTGCAACGAAGGTTCGCCGGCCACCGACTTTTTGATGATGACTCGCCATTACTGGCTTCCGACAGACTCTCTCTGCCGCAGTCGCTTCCCTCATGCTTAACAAGCTATAGTTTGCTTTTAAACAGAACTTATGGTTCATACAGAACAAAAAATTTTACTTAACGTATGTGACTCGATCTCGATGCACGGTAAAGATGGACGGTCAAGAATCGAAAAACGCATTTGATAAGTCGATGCACAAAAATATGCCGAAAAAATTCAAGTGGTGTAGGATTAGGGCAGGCCATTATCCAATCAACATTAGCGTCTAGCTGAGCCATGTTGCGCAAGGATTTCGTTTTTTTCATCATCAGCTTTGACGTAAGAGAAAAGAGAAAAATGTAAGTAACTCGTTGAACAACGTAAATGAAGGAGATCAACTAGAGTATAGTATAGAGTGGGATTTTTCTTCACATAAGGCCGGCCACCGCTTTTTGATGATGACTCGCCATTACTGGCTTCCAACAGACTCTCTCTGCTGCAGTCGCCTTTTTGTGCTTAATAAACCCCCATCATAAATTCTGTGCAACGAAGGTTCGCCGGCCACCGACTTTTTGATGATGACTCGCCATTACTGGCTTCCGACAGACTCTCTCTGCCGCAGTCGCTTCCCTCATGCTTAACAAGCTATAGTTTGCTTTTAAACAGAACTTATGGTTCATACAGAACAAAAAATTTTACTTAACGTATGTGACTCGATCTCGATGCACGGTAAAGGTGGACGGTCAAGAATCGAAAAACGCGGAAAGTAGTGACGCGCAAAAAGATGCACAAAAGTAAATACTGCTTGTTGTTTTGTGCCTGAAAAGTGACCTACTGCGCGCAGTTGATTGATGCTGGTGGTTGGAGAGTGATGTTGTACAGAAACATTGTCAGGCAGATGAGTAAATACTTAAGTGTTACTTTTTTTGACCGTCAAAAAATCCCTGGGCCAATTTGACGTTTCGTATAGGGGATAAGTATGATTTCACAGGGGGTGACGATGTGCGACACTAGGAACTTACGGCGTAATGCTAAACTGTAATCGATGTCGGCCAATCTGTAGTTGAAGCTTGTCTTGTAGAAATGAACACAAAATTACGCAATTCGAGCGACCATATTCTTAATCCAATTCTCTAATAGTCTTTATCAATATTCTGCATACGTTTTAGAATTTGCATCCCGATAATAAACAATTTCGAACTAACGTAAATTATAATGCGAAGATTAGTATCTCTCGCGTCTCTGACCATGGAGTCTAAAAATTGTGAATGGAAAAGTTAGAAATTTTTTCTCTTACAACAACTCAGCCATTCTTTTTGATTATAACTACAAAGAGAAAAAAGTTCGTTCGGCCTTTACCATCTTTTGAAAATTAATCTGTCGGTGACGGAAACGAACATTCTATATGGGGTAACCAGACAAAGTCCAACGTCAAGATTTTTGCTCTATTGGCTCAGATTGGTACAAATGTTACTATTACTAAGCTTACAACATTTATTAGAAAGAACACAAAGTGAAAAAAATTGCCGCTATGTATTTAATGTAGTGATACCCAACCTCGCCAGGAATAAACAACCATTGATACCATAATAAACCAAATATAAAAGAAAACAAGTTTAACGTAAAATACCTCGCCTTCTTGAGATTTGAGCCAATAACATAGAATAATTTGATTATTCTAAAATTTATTAATCGAATGCAAATATTAAAACATCAGAGTGATTGCATGGGACAACATTACTCGTCCCAAACCGTTTGTCTTTATTTTCTCCGTCTAATACTAAGCCTTCCTCCTTTTTTACCATTCATCATTTAATGTGGAGGTAGCCAGACTATATTTTTTACCGAGTAATTCGTGGATTTCAATAGCCATTTTTAAGTAAACAAAAATTCGAGTCCAACTCGAGCCTTTTTGCCAAACGTTCTTTCACAAGCTTTTGATTTCTGGTGAATAATTACTTTGGCTTAGTTTGTATTTTTTTTCTTGGTTTTATTAAATTAATCAATAACGAGAACAAATATTTTAAATGGTGAAGTTTGTTTAGTAAGGTATATTTGTTAGTCCACATAAAGTGCATTTATCTGGTAACAGTACGCAAACAAATAGTTACGTTCTCAATGAAGACGAAATTACAAGCAAAACAATTTTACATTAACTAAAAAAAGTATTGAATAACACGACTTTGTTTTAATAGTAATTGTTAATATTTAATAAATAATATTTAAGAATGCACGTCCAAATAGAGATTAAACCTCGTCCATAAGAGGTCAGAAAAGAAATTAAGCACTACACGCGATGTGTTAACCAAGAACTTCAGTTTTAGTGTGCACCTAGAAGATCTTAATCTGTGTGATGTAACACATTAAAGGTAGAGAATGCTCTTTCCGAAAAGAAGAATTTTCTTCATTCAACATGTCGTTAGCATCAGGAACTGTTAAGAATCCAGCCATTGACAACTTGGTTGAGTCCTCCTTGAAAAGTGAAAATAAAACCTTAAGACTTGAATGGATTGCTTGCGAAGGAATCATCGACATAGAACCAACACAAAAGGACAATGTGTATTATGGTATTCGCAAGTCATACAATGAAGTGAAAAGAACGCCGATAACGCTGGTCTTCATTGGTAACAACGAAGAATGTACACCAACACTTGTGAGTGAGTTTGCTAGGACGTACTCACTACCAACACACAAGTACAGCAATTACGTTCTTCAATACAGACGATATTCCAAATGGTTTGAGAATCGCAACAGACTGATAGAGGGATTTACCAAGTACGACGACAATTACTACATGGTGGCTGATGAACTTTTTTACCATTGTTATCATCGGTATGGATTTTGCACTGCATGCGGACTACTCCGATGTAGTCCTGTGTGGTGCATATGCGGACATAAACAATTATCCGACGGATGGGCTAGCAACAACACGCAACTCGATGACTTTATTAAAGAGGCTCAATTACAAACAGACTCAGCAAATGAAGCTTATTTGGAATGGATTCCATACGATTGTATATACTTGCGTGGTCTACCTACTCCTGAGCAAGTTAAATTTATTCCACTTAGAATAACAGACTCGACACATGATTTATATTATGACGAGGTAAACTATTTACTTATGCGTCATGTTTATTGAATAGTTTAAATAATTATTGACTTATTATTATGTATTATTAGTTACGTGATAATCATCCTGATATTCTTAACACGGGTATTTGGCTTACCATCGGATTTACATATGATGCAAGCGAACAAAAGTATTGTCTCGTAAAAGAACTATATGGGTATGGACTATGTCTGGCGTGTACACAGCAATTAAACCCAGAGATAATTTATTCTGTGATTACTGTAAAGCACCAACACTCCCCGATTGGACTACGGGTAACAAGTCTTTGGATTCATTTATTATGGAGTCGTGGAGTAATATAGCGAGCATATATGATGCGTATATACAATGGATGGAATACTCTCTATTGTCCAACATACAAGCGATGGCATCATTACGCCATGGATGCACACACGTAGCAGATTGGTTAGAGCCAACAGCGGATGCCGACGAGAGTGGCACTCAAACGGATAGTTGATGGAGATGATCAGTCATTTGATTTTCATCAGGTAAATCTTTCACGTGTAAAAAAACGTAAATAGTATTATTAACGTATGTATCGCGCGCATTAACATCAATTGTTGTATTTTATAGTTAACCAAGGAATACCCCGAGATATTAACACCTGATAACATTTGGATAATTGGGATTACTCAGGATCCAGCTACTCGGGAATATTATTTAGCATTCTACCAAGACATACACTCACTATTGGATAGATTCATACGAACCAATAATGAACGTCAAAAGTACATGCAATATAACGACTTTTATGAGCTCGAAAAGATAGGATCTGGTGGTTATGGAACAGTTTATACTGCCAAGTATAGAAAGTATTCAGAAGTCATGTATATGAGAGAAGAAACAGTTGTACTCAAACGGTTTAAGAGTTTTGACGAAGCGCCGGGATTATTTATTTCCGAGGTTAGCAATAATAATTGGTAATATCAATTAGAGTGATATTTAATTTGACGCTTATAATTATATTTTTATTTATAGTTCCGAAATCATGCCAAGTGTATTAAAATTTATGGAGTGACACAAGACCCAGAAACAAACGAGTACATGATTGTTATGCAATATGCTAACAATGGTAGTCTTTTGTCTTATTTGGATCAAAATATTAACAAACGGACGTGGAAGGAGAAATTAATACATTTGAGGGATATTGCTGGTTATCTGAGTTATATTCATAAAATGGGGCTAGTGCATTGCGATCTTCATGGTGGAAACATAGTTATACATGACAATGCAAGTGATTAATGGCCAGTCTATTCATATGCGATTTTGGTCTTTCTCAATCGGTAAATTCACGTCAACGAAATTCAACCATTCAAGGCGTTTTGCCCTTTATTGCACCGGAAGTCTTTCATACGTATAAATTCACTCAGCAGTCAGACGTGTATTCTTTTGGTATTATTATGTATTTGATGGCCACTAGTGAACCACCCTTTAGAAATAGGCAGTTTGATAGAGACTTAGTATGCGATATTATGGGCGGACTACGACCATTGATGCCTGATTCTGCACCAGAGGAATACAAGAAAATGGCTGAGCAGTGTTGTGATGCTGATCCTGATAAGCGTCCTGATGCAAGTACACTTTCTAATGATATTGACAATCTTATTCGCGAGACGGGTGCTAACATCATGTGGAATTCCGTTTATCATACCAATGTTAAACCCTTGTCACGTCTCGAGAAAACGAATAAATACTCCAGTACGCTTTTACCTACCGGGGGTCTCCCTAAACCAAGAAACAGCTACAATACTCATCAGCTACCTCCTTTATCAGATTTCAACTTGTCAAGTTTAGAGGTAGAGTTAAGGAAAGTTGATGAGGAATAGGGGTAGTTGGATGCTGACGAAGAGACAACAACTGGTTGTATTCATATAACGGAGTCAATCTACAGTATTAACAGTATTCAGGATCTTTGAATTAAACATGTCATTCGCAGATTTATTCCTCTTTAAATTAAACGAGTTGAGTTAGAAGGATATTTAAATAAAATCGTGCACGTTTGTTGCTAGTCACCTTGGCCGAAGTAATTATTTGAAAATATTTTTGAAACTGGTAGTGAGTTGGTGCTGGATAAAATGCGCAACAACATTCGACATTGCTTTTCCGATGAGTTATTCCATAACGGTTACTGGTTAGCATCAATTCTCGATGACGTGAATAACGATTCAGCCAGGGCAAAATATGAAGAAGGAATCATCATTTGCTAACGAATAGTCCATGTGTTTACAGTTTAATATATTATATTAATACTTTTATATAGTTAGTCACGCCTCTCGCACTTTGTTTTGAAATAAAGCATGCGTGCAATTGTGACATAAAACAGCATCACAATAACAGACCCAGAAAATGTTATATGGGGCAGACTGCAACAAAACCAGACAAAGTGAACATTCTATAATACATAGTGATAGGAGTGTTTTAGCAGTAGTGAGTCTTAGTGGTAGTGGTAAGCGTTTTAGTGATAGTAGTGAGTGATTATCATTTGTTTATATAAATATGCACCAACTTGCACCAACTCCAACTCACACCAACTCACACCAACTCATGACAAATGGGTATTAGTGTTAGTGTTGCATGGTATTTTAACTATTTTGGCATACTAATACTCAAGCATGCACACTTGTCATCAACAGTTGCACAAACATGAGTGTGGTAGTAGTAGTAGTAGTATTGTTTGTGAATAAAGGTCCTCATGATAGTATGAATACAGATCTCCCTTGGCATCCAGATATAAAGCCATGTGTGAATATTATTCCTGAACATGATAAGGATACATTAGAAAAATGCTTTCTAGATATGTTTTGAACATTAATCAAAAGTCTTATTGTGTAAACTTTGTTCTAATGATAAGTACAATCTAATTTAGCAGCAACACAATGAGCATTTTTGCCATAAATCTTAGTGAACTTGACAATGATCTGATAATGTTCCTTTGCATCAGACAAGGTCACAAGGTATATCAGCTTGTTCTCAAAAAGCTGTTCCAAGTATGTGAATTTTACTTTGTTCCCTGGTCATTCCAGATGATTAAATTCACAAGAATATGGGAAGTTTGCTTGTTGTGGAACTGTGTTAACAGCAGATCTGGCTGACATAAGCTCATCCAGATAAAACTTGTGAAGATGGTAGATGCACTCCTTGAGTGCTCTCAGCATCCATGTGATTCTGATCATGTAAGCATGGTCATCAGGTAGATAGAACAATGGGATTACCAGTCCCAAGGGGTCACACTGGGGCTTATCTGTGTTAATTGCACCAGCAAAACCAAGAAAAGGACCTGCAACATACAGTATGAAGACTGGGCAACACATCTTTTTCAGGATTTCCTAACACTTGTCCTGTGCCATCGACACATATTTCATATAGTAGGCTGATGCTTGTATGTATGCACAACTGTGTCCTTTCCCAAACTCTGGCTTGACTTCCAGAATGGAAAGGATCATTTCTTCTCCCTTGATTGTCAGCACAATGTGTCCATCTGACTGGAAACCAGAGATTTCATTACCACTGAAACTGTAATTTTGTAGGTAGGTTCTCATGATATCAATAAATGCTTCCTTCCTCTCACGCTCATAATTGAACTTTGATGACATCTGTTTTGCCATATCAATTGCACATTCTACATCTTCTGTGCTAATCAGGCCTGAATCCACAAGAGAGAGAAATTCAGAAAAGATGGGGTGATGAATAAGGATGGGCGCTCCACAGGAATCACAAGGATGATGATTTATAATAACAAGACCAAAAACCAGATTGTCAGAAGTAGAATTACAACATCAGCTATGCACTATTCCAAAAAAAAAAGAAAACTGAAGGCAAAACAACTTATTTGCAGCTACATTTGTAGATATTGTAGTACACAGATGAGACATCAATGTACCTGTGATGCTTCAAAAGGCATGTGTATTAACTGCTTTAGTAGACATGTTTTGGATGATATTAATACATGAAATTAAAGAGTGGATTCCAGTAACTTATGATTGTTTTTATTTTACCTCATTAGCAATACCATTGCAGAAATATTTTAATAAATCATCATACTAAATTTAGTACAGGTAAATTCTTACAAAAGAGTGATGTATTCAAAACTACTTTGCACAGAACTTTTATTAACGAACATTATCGATTTTTTGCTCAAGTGTAGACTCAAAGCCAGTGTACATTGTAACATACTTTGAAGAAATTCAATTCAGTCATTGGCATGAACAGAGCTCCAACATGCTGTACTGAATTTACTATGATTGGCATACAGATACCTATTAAGCTAACTAAATACACATAAAAAAAGTAAAAGTTAAATTTGTAGTTTTCGTGACTTTTTTGAGGGAGGTGTTCCAGTAATTTTGCCAAAACAGCCTCCAACCTCAGTATTGTCAGGTTTTCTTGGTCATTTCCCTTTCGCTTTCTTCTATGTGCTTGAGCATGGGATAAAGCAATGTTATTTGCTTTATTGCATATGGAGTTGAGGGTAGCCTGTAATTGCATAAAAATTGCATTATACAAATTTATAAAGCAGTAACTATAACATGACAAATCAAAAATTACCTTAACATTTTTCATTTCTACATAGAACTTTTCTAGACATGCAAGTGTTCTTATAGAATTGGGCAAGGCTGTTGTGCACAACTTCCCATATCTACAAATGTTTGTCCCTTTGCAATCCATAGCAAGAATCTGATGTGTCCAGCCTTTGAAACAAAAAATATATGTACAGTCATACCTCTTTTATATCCCGACTTTGGGACAAGGAGTTTTCGGGGATATAAAAGAGGTGGGATATAAATGAGGTATTCGTTTAAAACTAAAACATGCAATTTTATTGGTTAATAAATTCGTTTAATGAAGTTTGGCGTTTAGCCTTTTCTACAGATTCATCTAAACGTCGAATTATATTACGTATATACTTTACATCA